ACGCGCACGCCGAAGTCGTCAGTAGTAGTTTAGCGTCGCTGCCCGGGATTCACGCCGAGTGGCCTGCTGATCAATCCCCGCATAGACATCCAAATGGCCGAACGCAAGCCCATCGTATTTTTCGACATCCCGGCGAACGTAGACGGGACCGCATGGTCGCCCAACACCTGGCGCATAAGGTGGGCAGCCCCCGCATGCTCTCCATACCAGCACCACGCGCTTACCTCCGCGTCCCTCCCCGTACGCCAAGATACGCCCTCAACTACAAACGCATCCCATACACCACCACCTGGGTCGAGTACCCCGACATCGCGCGCACCTGCCAGTCGATCGGCGCAGGGCCCACCGGCACCTGGCCGGACGGCTCGCCCATGTACACCCTCCCCGCGATCCAGGACCCCTCCACCGGGACCACACTCGCCGGCTCGCTCGCCATCGCGCGCTACCTCGACGCCACGTACCCCGAGCCGCTGCACCCGCGCGTGCTCCCGGCGGGCACGGACGCGCTGCACGCCGCGTTCGAGATTGCGCTGAACGCGCTCATGGTGCCCCACATTCAGATGCTCGTCGTGCCCGTCATGCTCGGACGCGAGCGCCTGCACGAGGCGAGCCGCGCGCACTACCGCAAGGCGCGAGAGTGGCAGTATGGGGCGGGGCGCGCGGAGGAGTGGGCCCCGGCGGGCAGCGAGAAGCGCAAGGAGCATTGGGAGAAGCTGAAGGCTGCGTTCGGCACGATCGCGGGCTGGATAGATGGGGACGGGATAGAGAAGACGTTCTTCATGGGCGAGAAGCCGTCGTTTGCAGACTTCGTCGTCGCTGCGAGGTTGATGTGGCTGAAGAAAATGCTGGGGGAGGAGGATGGCGAGTGGAAGGCAGTCGAGAAGTGGAACGACGGCCGATGGGCAAAACTACTCGAGAGCCTGGACGCGTTTGGCCAAGTCGACGCGTAGATTCGCAGGGTATCAGGATCGCAAGTCAGAAAGTGGAGACACCCTTGTATGTAGGATGTAGAGAGGCCTTCCGTTCGTCGTAATCGAGCCTAGCACGACCGGGCGCACACATGTCTGGGAAGCGTTAGAGGTACATTATGTGATTATAGGTGAAAGCAGCGGGTATGTGAACATTGCCTCTATGGTAAAAGATCCTTGCGAAACCCCTCTCCGGCCCGACCCAGCACGCGGGGCCACCGGCCAACCCTCCAAGCAAGCAGATCTCGTGCTCACGCCGTCTTTTTCTTGCCGCTGAACGAGTACTTCTCGACCTCGGCCTCGGCGCGGAGGCCCTCCTGCTCCGCCTCTGCGATCATCTTGCGCTCCATCTTCTCGTACTCCTCCTTCGACAAGTTCAGCTTCTTCATCTTGTCGATGCGCGCGCGGTACGCGCGGTACTTGTCGTCCGTCCCGAACAGCCGGTCGCACCACCGGAACGACGTCGAGAAGTTGTTCACGAACGCCATGTGGTGGAAGTCGTGGTGCTCCGCGCCGGACCAGAAGGGGAGGATGTGCTGCAGCGACCAGGGGAAGTCTGCAATGAGCGCTTCGTCAGTATTGCGCTCGGGCGAGTCGAGAGGGATAGTGAGACGTACCGTAGCCGCTGTGCGCGTCGATGGCCTGGAAGAGCCGAAGGGTAATCCAGATGTAGACGGTGAAGATGTGCAAGTCCTGGCGGAACCAGCAGTAGAGCAGCGGGCCGGCGATGGTGCCCGTACCGAGGATCATGACCTCAGCGGGGTGCGCGTACTCGGCGGCGAGGCCGAACGGCGCGGAGTACTTGTGGTGAATCTTGTGGATGTGCTTATAGAGCGGGCCCCAGTGCAGCGCCTGGTGCGCGAAGAAGTGGAACATGTCCTCGAACACGAAGAAGAACGCGATCTGGGGAAGCTGCTGGCGCCACGACGGGAACGGCACCTGCCAGGTCATCATGCCGAACGCTTCTGCCATCGGGTGGAACAGCCAGATCTGGAGTCGGGACGTGTTTGAGCACGGGGACTTTGAGGGACGGGATATGAAGGGACACGTACCACGGGGAGCTCAACCATAAAGTGCGAGAACAGGACCTGCTTGGTGCATTCCCACTGCTCCTGGGGCGTCGGGATCTTGGTAGGCTGGAGCTTCCACTTCCTGAAGTACGGGATGGCGTCGATGATGATCCACGGGATGCAGCGCCCAAAGTACACAATCTAGCGAAACCATGTCAGCGTCAAGCTGCGCGCACCAAAACGCGTTAGCGTACGCACCTCGTGCAGGAGGAAGCTCATGAGGCCCGTCGCGATAATGGGATTCCCGATCCACAGGTACCAGTTCACCCACTGCATCTCGAGCCAGTTCAGCTGGGTGAAGTCCGTGTTGGCGTAGAGCATCTCCGCGGAGGGATGCACGGACGAGGCGGCCGTCGAGTTCATGTTGGCGGTGGTCGTGGTCGTGAGCGTCGGCGTCAAGTGCAGTCAAATCCGACAAACAGTCCCGGGCGTCGAGCAGGGTCCGGGCGAGGCAAGAGGGCAAAGAGACAAGAGACAACCGCCGTGGTGAGCGTGGGGGAGGCGGCGGCGGTTTTATTACCTGCTTCCCAGATTTTTCGGCGGCCCCGCAAGCGGTTGTCGTACGACCCGGCTAAATGCTTGTCGCCTTTTCCGCACGTGGCTCCTCCGTCTGGCTCCTCCTCCCCAGCACGCCGGGCTCCTCTGGCCTGCTCCAGCCGCCGCTCGACCCCCGCTTTCCTCCTCATCCACGGCGTTCAGGTGGTATGATCGTCGAGGTGGTCAGAGGAAATCGCAATGTCTCCATTCATACACTCAAATTGAAACAGCTGCGCCGGACTAGCACTAGTGCAGGCCGCGGCATCCATAGGCGCCCGGGCAAGGCCCCTGTCATCCAAATTCAATGATTGAACCACCATGACAAACAAAGTGCACAACTGCGGAGAGCTCATTCGTCTAGCCCACACTGCTCTCTCATGCGTTCGTTGACCTTGAGATATGTCGGAAAATTGTTAGTGCAAGTATCTCAGCGGTCTAGTGCTAGGGCAAAGCAGCCCGTATGTGCACACAGGTAGGCAGAGGTCCAAGGAATCACTACCATTCGGTCCAAGGTGCTTTCTGCATAGACATCCTATGACGTTGATAGCGGACGCACAAGGCGCCTAGTGCACACAAGAGGTTAGCGGCCTATATGAGTTACGGAGACCTCTGTGAGTGAACGTACCGTAACCTCATATTGACGGCACTGCCAGTCAAGCATATAGTTTTGTCCAGACGTCGCTTGAGCTCCCTGAACGTTGAGCACGAAGTTCGTGGGACGCATTCCTCCTATGCCGGTGGCAAGAACACAGCCCACAACACGCAGCTCACCGCGCCCCAGACAACGCTCCAGCCCACCCACCACTTGCCTAAATTCGGCCTCTCCACGAGCAACCACGCGGCCGCCCAGTACGTCAGCGGCATCGACGCGGCGAGCCGCAACACGATCTGAGTGTGAGAGGCGAAGAGCAGCAGGAGTGAGAGGACGAGTGCGTGTATCACGTGTGGGGCGATTGAGGGCGAGAGGAATGGCGAGGCTTTCTGGGTTGGGGCTGTGGACGGCGCAGAGGAAGGGGAAGCGAAGGCGGCCAGCCGTGGGATGAGCGCAAAGCGGGCGTATTGCAGCGTGAAGGTGAAGAGTAGGAGGAGGGGAGGCGCGCCAAGGAGGAAATTTGGGAGCTGCTGGACAGTCCAGTAGCGCAAGAACCCGACGTTCCAGTATTTCGCTTGCACATATGTGTAGATGGACGGGACGAACGCGTCACACCATGTCGCAGGAGCGATCGATCCCGTGCAGAAACGCCGATACGCCTGATACTGGTACCAGACGAAGAAAGCAAGGACGGTGGTGCATAAAACAGCTGCATAGAGGAGCCGCCCGAGGGATACCTAGGAGATGTTCGTGAGCTCTGGAATGATGCGCACACTGTATGCAGTCATGTACCTTCTTCGACTCGAGCAGGGGCTCCACCACCAGCCCCCACGCGACAAAACCGCAGAGGAATATGCCGTTCGAACGGAAGGTTGTGGCAAGCGCGAAGAAGCAAGTCGCCATGAGCCACTGCTTGCGCGCGCAGCATAGCATACCTGCTCCACGCCGTACCATCAGCTTTCCCCTTGACGCTCCTATGGACTCCCAGACGTACCCTTGTAGGAGAGAAAGGTGAAAAACGGCTCGCTATATCCAGTAATCCGCAGCGTCGCCGGACTGCTAGGCAACAGGGACAAGAGCGAAGCTAGCAGCGCGATCGAGGGCGAGTGGAAGTGCAGCATCGTCAAATCATACAAGTCTTCCACGGATACAATAGACACAAATGATCCAAGAAGGCCTCCAAGCATTAGCTCCTCCCAATCGAACGGAGCCCCTGCTACTTGTTTCGAAGGGTCCACGGCTCGGAGGATGGACGCGCAGGCGCGCATGACCCATGGAACTCCAGGAAGAAACGCCCATTCGTTCTCATATACGTAGCCTGACTTCGCCACGTTTCCGAAGTGAAAGGCGTCCCAGCGGAGCACGGACGACGCAAGGATACGGCGCAGTGAAAAGTGCGGCGGGGGGTCTCCCAAGAGGACATGCGGCGACGAGTCGAAAAGCGGAAGGCGGGATGACAGCACGGTCAAGAGAAGAGTCAAACCGGTCGCAGCGCAGGAGAGCATGTATAGAATCCTTTTATGAGAGTCGGCCGCGGGGGCTACCACTTTATATCCTCGGGAGGACTTTGCAGACATTGCAGCCGGGATAAGTAGTCGGGGGCCCGCGCGTAGTCGCGCTCCCTGCCTGTACGAACTGTCAAGTGTTCAAAAGTGAGCGAATCGTTAGATCGCAGGTCCACAACGCGAACGAACAAGAGCTTTACGAGGTCACAGACCGTGCTGAGCGGTCGAAAAAATGATGCGCACACCCTTCCGGACGAGGTACAAGATGAACGTACGCTGGTGACGAAACACACCTCAAGGCTGCGAGGCGATAGAGGACGTGAAAAAGTGGTTCAGTCCGGGCTCGAACCGGAGACCTCCTGTGATCTTAGCCCATTTGGCTTGTGAGACAGACGTGATAACCAACTACACCACTGAACCCTTTTATGGCTTCTTGTTTGACGTCTCTGATGGCATGTATGTTCATCATCCCGGAACGCCACCGTGGTTCATTACGGACGAACGAAGGCAGAACAAATCGCAACGTTGAATACTAATACACGCTCCCACCTGTCCACCATGGGCTGCCTACACAAATCCTGAACGATCCCATTCCGACCCAACCGCGCCTTGATAGGAACCTCCGCCCTGCGGCTGGCCCTCCTTCATCCAGCCCACCCGGTCAGCAGTTAGTCCGGCCGCGCGAATGAACAAGGTGCCGTCGAGCAGCTCGGCGCCCTCAAGACCGCTCCCCGTGAAGTGACCGGCCTCGCGCGTCCCATACACCGTCGCGTTGTGGAGGAGAGCCCGCTGCAACTTGCAGACGTGCTCGCCGGGGTGGACGATGGTCGTCTGAATAAGGGGAAGCCACGGGTTAGGCGCGACGTCGTCGGGCGTGAGCGTATCCTTCGCCGGCGATACGCTCTGTCCAGAGTTGGGAGGAGTAGGCTTAGCAGTCGTTGCCTCGTAGAACTCGCGGATGGGGAGCGCGGGACGGCCCCGAGCGATATACCAGCCGAGACTAAGCGCGAAATAGGTACGCAGCAGGACAGCAGTGGAACGTGGAGAGAGGTACGCAGCGAAGGAAGGCAAGAAGAGCGACGAAGTGACGAGATGCATGCTGAACGGCCCATATTAGCGACCCGACTAGCCCAGGAGCCAACTCCTCTAACTCACCTGAAGAAATCGGCATTGAACTGCTTGTTAGCAGATCGCTCACGCCCAGCCCACCCGCCGACGCCGTATATGATGGCGTTCATCCATGCAAGTTCTTCGATCTTCTTGTCGATTGCGGCGGGCGTGGCGCCCTCCCCCTCCAAGTCGGCCGCCCACTCTGCCGCAAGCTCTGCCAGGGCGTCGCCTACCACTTCCTCGACGCGGTCGAAAGGAGATTCCCCCTCTGGCAGTGGCAAACCGATGCTCGTGGGGTTGAACTTCTGGTCTGTAACGACACGCGCGAGGATTGAGAATGCGTGGACGGCGGACTTGGCTTCCGTTGAAGGGGCTGCGCGACCATCGTTGGAAGGGCGCTTACGGAGAGTTAGAGAGGGGATCAGCGAAGTCAAACGGGAAACGCTGCCGGAATGGGTTTCCTTCTGCTTCTGCTGGTGCTGGAAGATCGCGGCGGGAATCAACTTCTTTCCTTGATCACTATGCGTCGCTGCCTGGGCGAGACCTGTAGTAGAAGAGGTGATTAGCCAAGCCCAGCGCAGAACAGAAACGATATTACCCTCCGCGACCAGTCCCAGGAAGCCAAACTCCAGACCGCAACCGGCGTGTATGAGAGGGTGTACCAGGGCAGCTAGGAACCTAGCGAGCATGTGAGGCTCGCCTTCGATGCCAGGTCCGCCGACGTTCGCTTTGGTGGAGAAGACATATTCCTCGAGCACCTCGGTGACGTCCTTGGTGCGAAGAGAAGCCCTGAAAAACTCCAAATAAGAGTTGTAAAATCTGACCAATAGTTCGTATTAGCAGGTGTCTAGCGCATGCGTTGAATAGACATACTCGCGCTTTCCGAGATGGCGCCAAAAGCTCTTCTCATCAATCGACTCCGGGGACTGGAATGCCGGTCTCATGTACGCGACGTGCGTCTGGTAGGCAGCCTCGATGAGAGGGCCTCCCGCTCCCATGGCATAGATCGCCACAAGATGGTGGGCAGCATGACTGTTCAACACGCTCGTCAGCTTCGCTCCCGGTGATATCAGGCATGGATGCAACGTACTTGTGGAAGCCGCGGTCGTTGAAATAGGCATGCCATTTGACATGGTTGTCCTTCAAAGTGTTAACCAGAGCAAGGCCTGACGCGTGAGTGACACCCGGGAGGCGAGCGGGGAACTGGCGGGACGAAGGGGGGGAAGGGAGGGGAAAGAACGAGTCAAGATCCTCAACAGTCTTAGGGGAAGTCGTCATGGCTAGGGAAGAGACTTTACTCTGAGGTAGGGCGCGCTGACTTCGCAGCTATATGTACTCTGGGCAGCAGCCATGCTCGTCTACGAAGGCAGGGGTGGCATAGGTACGACCCAATCAGGAGGTAGGGGTATGCCATTGGCAAAGGCTGCCCCAGACCGTCCCGTGAGAGGTGCACTGAATGGCTCCGAAGGAGCGTGACCCAGAGTCTCGACATCGCGGGTGGAAACCTACTAAGCATTCCCACTAGGAAGCGCGACTGGAGCCGTTTTTGTCAGTTGGGTGACCACACAACGCGATGCTGTCGGAACAATCACGAGAAACCGTACTGCTTCGGGGTAGGCACTCTCTCGGCGTGCCGCAGAGAAGAGCCGGGGTCGGAGGTGTTTCCAGGCATCAACGAGTTTCCATACTGCTGGTCATCCTACCTTCAGGATACTTCACGAGCCATGCAACTCGGCGCGCCGATCGCTCGATGTCCCATGACGTACACTATGCAGACATGCTCCTTGGATTTGTTAGTGTGTTGTAGACATCAATACGGAAGGTCAGCTGCGCAGCGTCAGAGCGTTGGATTACTCAGAACCCTGCGAGTTCGGCGGATGAAAGCATCTCGTGTAAATCGCTGAGCATTCCAGCATTCAAGCGCTTTATGCAGTCAGATAGTCACATGATCTGTGGCCGAGTGAAACGATTTCATCAATGCCCCTCAACGTCGACGAACAGAGTAGAGGACTTACGGAATACGACGGCCTTGGCAGCACAAGGCCCGTTCAGGTATGACATAGCCTGCGATCTGTGCAGTGACTTCTGGACCTCAAAAACTGGCTTCCTTCAAGCTCTCTGAATCCACATCGCTCTGAGCGCAGGTAGGCAGGAGCCCGTTCTCCGTGAAGGTCCCGAAAACATCCTCCATGTCGACCTGACCTAGACCGGCCGGCGGGAAGAACGTGTTCAGGGCGATGTGGATGGAGGCACTGAGTGTAAAGCCGAGCGGCCAGGCCAGGTCGTACATGTGCGTCCATCCCTCCGAAACGCCGACAGGATCCGGAGACACGGCGTGGATGAAGCCAGCTGTGGGGCGCACGAAGGAACGATCATCACTTCATCCAGAGCGTCATATCAAGACAGAACGACAGGCTTACGCATGAGCGGCCAAACGCCAGACACCCACGAGATGATTGCGCGCACATTGACGCCGTACGTGAAGTAGTAGATGGATGCGGGATCAGGCATGTACAAATGCGACAGACGCAGTTTCTTCCGCCGGACAATGAGATAGTCAGAGACCATCACACCCTACGAGAATAACATCCCGTTAGCAACCCGCCCTTCGAGCACGCAATGCACATGCTCACAGTCAGAGGTCCTAGGAAAACAGCGAACGAGCTCAGTACCGTCAGGAAGACGCTTGAGCCAGTGAGAAGCTTCCAAGGACAAATTGCGATTCCAAGAGCTGCCGTAAGGAATGCACCCCTTGATTGTCGATGAGTATACCTTACAACGAGAGGCGAGACGAAGAGAAGCTGACCTCCGAATGTTGATATATCTCGGCAACAGTCCTGCTAAGTCGATACCACCAGAGACTGCGTTTCCAGGAATATTGATGCCAAATTGCGACAACACGAAGGCGCAGCCAGCAAAGAAGCACGCAGCCCGCGCGCCAGGACCACCGTGAGCCTGTATGACTTGCAGGAGATCGTAAGGCGCCCAAAGCAGTCCCTCGTCGGGAAAGAAGCCGGCCGCACAGCTAGTCACTATAACGCCAAAGAGTGCGACTGTGATAGAACCAAGAGGGACGATAACAAGCTGGCTCAGGATCTGCGCTCGAGGATAGGATGCAAAGCGGGTGTAATCGCTTTGGTTGAGGATGCCGGCGCAGATGCTGCCAATGGTAGAGCTGATACCGTATGCCATTGCCCACCCGAGACGCGACCCGCCCTTGATAGGCTTGGCACCACTCAGTTCTCTCGGATGACTGAGAAGCGGCCCTCCGCCACCCTGCTTCGCCAGAGCCCAGACAAACATGCAGAAAGTAGTGACAGTTATGACGACACTGCCGACCAGGAAAGGCTTGCGAAAATGTTCAGGTGGGACGAGCAAGAGCGGCATTGATATAGCGGCAAAGATCAGGATTCCTATGAGGTCGTTTAGCCTGATGAGGGATCAGCAAAACACACTTTACGTCTGAGACGTGATACGTACTCAATCCCGGCGCTGGTCGGTAGAGTGTTATGGAGGGAGTAGAAACTTGGCCAAATGGCGCCGATCACGACTTTCAGCTGGAACAACATTAGTGCACCTTCTGCATGTGCGGTAATATGTAGTCCTACACTTTTGCCGCCACTGCATAGCGTAGCTTAGTGAACGTCCTCACGAGTGGAACGAGGTACTCACAAGACAAGTTGCACGCCATACCAGACGATCGATAGCAAAATGCGCATGAGAAGCGGGAAGAAGCTGCCAAAAACGCCCCAGACGAAGCGGTTGTAGACTGGAAATCCGACGTGCCATTCAGCCCCGACGAAACCGTTGCCGACGACAGCGCAGGCCACAATGAGGTATCCAATGACGACCGAGGTCATGGCCTGCCAGACGTTCAGGCCTAATCCGAGCAGGCTCGACGCCGTTGTCCACCCGCTTATATTGAACCCGGTCAGCAGCCAGTATCCGACGAACGACCAAGCACCCCAAGTCCTGCGTGAAGGTGGCAGGGGGACGATGTCGCGGTTGATCCATGCTGTCGATTCGCCTTCGAACTCGTTCTTGCGCTTCACCTCCAGTTGTTTCAGAAGGGTCGACATCCTGTGGGGTCCGGGTACAGGGAGACACCGATGCCAGGTCCAGCTGCTGAGGAGCAAGGCGCAAGCTCACTCGAGGACTGAATCCTGCCTTATCAATAGAGCGTCCGTTCGATAAGCAATGCGTTCATCGGATTGAAGAAGGGAGTGTGCGCACCACTAGTACTGCTTCAGCCGATAGGCATGCTAGAGATAAGTACTACGGAAGATCAGAGCTTCGCTAGCAGTCGTCTG